AATGGAGCGAGAGAGAGAAATTATACTATCTGTACTGTATGCCTACAGTATATCAACTGCATATATAATACACACACACACACACACACACACACATACAGTATATACACACACACACAGTGTGTGTGTATATATGATGTATAATATATGCAGTTGATATACTGTAGGCATACAGTACAGATAGTATAATTTCTCTCTCTCGCTCCATTCAATTGGTTATATTCATTTTCATTTAGATGGTTATGTAACCTGCCAAAGCTGGAAGTCCCTTATTAATTCAGACCAAAATATTCCCCTTCTCATTCTCTTATCCCCACCAGGAAAGAAACCCCCAAACTTTGTATCTAAAATCACAGGGGAAAAGATGCCTGAATGAATTCTGTTTCCCATGGATTCTCATCTGATCAGCTCTCCGCTAAAATCCACAGGGCTTTCCTCATGAGCTTGGAGCAATTTCCTGAAATCCCTTCATTTTCCAGCTAAAACCCCCCCCAAAAAGACCAAGAATCCAGCTGTATTTTTCCTCTTCTTTTTCCTCCCTTCTTCATCCATTGCATGCCTTTATTTTGAATCTCTCTGTAACAGCTTTAACCCTCTGTTTCCTGTCACTTCACTAAAGCCCTGTTGCTGTGCCTGGAATGGGGTTTTTTTAAGATTAAAAAGGGCAAAACAAAACAAAAAACCCTGCTCCATCTTCTGCAAAGCGGCTGTGGGTTTTGCAGCACAAAGCAAAGGATTTTCCTCTGAAAGACTCCGAAGGCAAAATGGTCTTTTTCAATACTTACAGATCCTATGGAGAGAAGCAAAGTGAGATCCTACTAAACTGTAGCTGATTTAGCTGGTGTTCATATTGAATAAATTATGCAGGGGTTATAGGAATCCCAAGAAGAAATTGCATGCTTTATTACGCCCCAGCATGACATATGGATTTTTCTGATGTGATATACAGCTTTCATAGATTTCCTCCGAGTGCCTGTGGTGGAGCTCAGAAAACCTACTAAGGAGGAGAGGTAATTCCTCATTCATTTGCACAGCCCTAGAAATGTGCAAGAGGGGGCATCACTGCTGGTCTATCACTGACGCAGGCCCTGGTACGAGAGAATAGCCGGTCTAGTGGGAAGAGCGCGGCCTCAGACTATAACAGCTGCAGTTCAGTTCCTTTCTCTGCTACGTACCCTCCAGTGGAGCCTTGGGCAACTCACTTCATCTTCCCCTGTGTCTAAGGTGTCCATCTACAGAAGGGGAATAATCCACCTCT